AACATTGCTTAACACAGTATTTGTATATGGATGAAAACACTATTTCTCTGTGCTTCCTTAAGAAGTGCATAAGGGACAGGTGAACTTTAATAAAGCAAGGAGTGGAGGCTCTGCCTACGGTGATCCTGTCCTTGTAGGAAACCACAAATGAAGCATTTCAGGAAGATTTTAGGGAACCATGAAGCAGAATATTGGGAAGATAATGAAAGGAGAAAGACTCAGGATGAGGGTTTTCTCCAGCCACATCTTGTCTGCAGTATCATTGCTCACAGGCTCAGTGGCACGGAACCTCATAGGAATCCTTCAAAGTAAGATCCTTCAGAGGACATGTCCGGCAGCGAGTCAGGAAGCCAGGGACACCTCCATCCCAGCGTCTGTCACTGTGTATAGTCACTCACGAGGGACCAGGAAGGAAGGGCCAGCAGTCCTTCACAGGTGAGCAAGAGCAGCAGTGCCCCTGAGCTCTACACAAGCATCCCTTCCTGCCCCGTCCCAGTCTGTTCTGCATCATCTTCACCTGCATGAAAGTTTTCACACGTGTCATTTCATTTAGGAAGCTTAGCAACTCCGCAGAAGTAGCTAGAATAGATGTCTCCAACTTACAAATGAAGTTTACTAAAGCTGAGACTACAATAAACACAGCTCTAACTATGAAGACTCCCATCACAACAGCTGTGAGGTCCCAATGGAGATCACAAAGTGTTAGAAATATTTACTAACTTTAATAAAGAAAATTAATAAGTGGTAACAAATCCAAACAAAACATAGAAATGCAAACTTAGATCCTACAAATACTAACATTATTTAAACAAGTGGTTGTGTTTAATTCTAAGATAATGCCAGAATTATATGCATAAACTGTTAAAAATATGATCATATTCAGCACAAAATGGGAATAATCAGAAAAATAAGCATGCATTCATCCCATAAAAACAGATTTATTTGAAAATGTGCTTAGTTATACCTGATGTAACAAATGGCATACTGAGTGTTATATATTTACCTCAAATTAATGAAAACATTTATACATTTTAGTTTTCTATAATCACAGCAAACACACTGCTCTAACAAACCATCCAACTTATCTCTCATTGCATCAATTAATAGGCTTAAAATCTATTTTAGAGATATAGAGGAGAAAAAAAATGATCTGAGGAACACTGGATGTTTGCATCGTAGCCAATACCCTTCTTTAGAAACACTCTAATTCATCAGCTTACCACATAATTTAGAGACACTATATAGATTTTCAAAGCTTCCTTGTTGAAATTTTTTCTGGAAAGAAGTTGAGACAATATTATGACTAAGTTATAGGGAAAAGAATGTAGAGTCTGAATCCTGACTTACTAAATTATTAAATACTCATTATTTCAGATATTATGAAGTTGACTTGCAGCTATTTAAGCCCTAAATTTTGCCAACGTTCTGATAGAATGCTATACGTGCTAATCAAGAGCAAGTGCCCATAACCTAGAAACACTTTAGTAATGCTTAAAAACAGGGAATTCAAATTGATTACGCTTCATCAAAAAACACATTTTTTCAATCAAATTTTTTCAATTTAATAGACACTTTGGGATAGAAAAGGTTATCTAACTTCAGGTACCTGTGACAAAGAAAATGGAAGCTCTTCACAGCTAAAATGAGATTTGGGTCTTTAGATTTTATTGAATCTCTAGCAAGTATGTATGTGAATGTCTATATAGACATATGCGTGTGAAGAGAAAGTGTAAGGAGAGTGATGGGGAGAGAGAGGGCTATAAATTAAAAATTGTAGGGACAATAAAGACAGTTGTATTTGTTTTCCTATAAGATACTAGCAAAAATCAATTCAGAAGTAAATTTAGCATCTCACTTATTTCTAAATTTACTCCAACAATACTTGAAAATAATTTGTTAAGCCATATTATTGCAGTATCCATTTTGGTCTGAGTTCATAATCTCATGAGATTTTAGAAACTCATTAGCTTACAGAGTTGGGCTAAAGCAGGGGGCTCACTAATAAAATAAAATTCTCTTGTGTTTAACTAGAAAATTGTATTTGATAATTGATTCTTTATAAATTGCACTTTGAAGGAGCTTGTCCACAGGTTTTTTGTTTGAGGAGAAATACACATTTTATATATTATATATATATATATATATATATGTGTGTGTGTGTGTGTGTGTGTGTGTGTAAGTATATTAAAATTTGCTATGTATTAAAAATTGACTTTGTAGTCCTTGTCCACAATTGATTTGATAAAGAGGAAATATATGTGATATATTCTGTATTACAAATCTACTTCCTATATAATTTATACTGGGAAATTGCTAAAAATATGTTTCCAGGATAATCACTTTATAAATTAAAAAGAAGCTATTGAATGTTTGCCTCAATGAAACTGCTTTTAAAATATTTGGATGCCAAGTATTTTCTCTCTTGATTTGTATTCTGGACAACTTACATCCTCTGTACTTTGACTAAGACAAGGTAAGGAGATGAAAGAATTTGATAGGTAGATTGAATTCAGCTCTAGAAAAGGTCAGTGAATACCACCAATAACCAACATAATAGTAAGCACCTCCACCATAGGCTTATGAAGGAGGTAGGAGTATAAACATTGCCTAGGCAAAAAATACTCAAGAGGATCACCCTCTCTTGACATTTTAAATGGCAATAGTTTTGCCTATGTAAGCCTCCATTAGCTGATATATTTTCCTCTAAATTACAAACAAAATTTAACATTTTGGCCAACTTGTTACTATAAACATACCACCTGGTAATTAAAGGATGTTTTCTGGATATATTGATACATTCAGAACTATTTGGCTTTAAAGCTTGAGCAAAAAACTACAAGGATAGGTGCTATCAGTAAGGTATGTCTTCAAGGAAGAGCCCACATCAGGCTTGTGTCTGCACCTTTCTCAAAATCTCTGAAAAGTTCTTTTCAGCTGGTTAAAAGGCTTCTAGGAATCTTAATTCCATTGTGCCAAAGCATGCTGGCTTACCCAAGTTAGTACTACTAAGTCTAGATAAAGAAAAAAAGAACTGCAGATGTGGTCTTGCACAAGAAGTAAGACAGATTCAAATATATTGAAAATCAAGTTTTTGAGATATCTCTCTGCTGAGTAGATGGAGGCTGTTTATAATGCAGAATGGTCAGAATGAGTTACACTGTTACATATGGCTCTGAGCTCAAAATATCCTGCAGGCAGGAAGATGATTAGGGACAAAAATTGTTCAAAGGGCACATTCCCCAGTACATTCTTTCGACCCCCGGGGCAGAGGCATGGGGAAGAAGGGCCTGGAGTTGAGCATGGTGACTCACACTTCTGGGGCTGCAGCGGGAGGATTGCACATTTTTAAAAATCCTGTCTTAATATGAAAAGAAAAGGTTGGGGATGTGACTCAGCACAGAAGTCCTAAGTTTAATACCAGAGAAAGTGAGAGAGCACCCTGCAAGCCTCTCAGCCTCAAGAAGCAGAACAGGAATGGTGATTGCCCTTCCCAGACACAGGCAAGAAGGAACAGAGGCCCCTCCCAAGAATTCAGTCCAGCCCTTCATTTGAGAAAAAGAGCAGACCCTGCAAGGGAATGGGCCACTCATTTTCCAGTAGGCACCTACGTGAAAGCAGAGATGCACTGAGAACATGGCTGCGGTGCGCTGGGTTGTAGGACGCTATGTGAAGCCACACAGGTCTGTTTCCTCTTACAATATGATTTTAGACTTGTTTACATCAATATTTCAATGTTTATTCTTGAAACATCTGTGAATATGTATGTTTAATTAAAAGAACAAAACCAGATTTTTTTTTCTTTTTTAGACAGGGTCTCACTAAGCAGTTCAGGCTGGCCTTGAGCTCACTTTGTAGCCCACAATGGCTTCGAACTCTGAAGGATTCTCCTGCCTCAACCTCCCAAGTGCTGGGATTACAGGCATCTGCTACCATGCCTGGCAAAAACAGATGCTCTTGCATTTTGGAGCAGCACTGCCGTTCTGGAAGACCCCTAACCTAGATGACTCTTGCTGTCTCTGAGGACTTCTAAATTGGGTGGTATCTAACCTGGGGGACCTCTAGCCCTGGAGGACCCTTGTAGTCCTGCAGGGTCTCTAACTAAAGGGAACCCCACAGTCCTGTGTCAGTTTTCCACTCCTTTCATCCATGGATAGACAAAATTTATAGGTATTAATAATTCTTTCCTCCTAAATCTAAGCCAAACATAGGTTATAGATTTGTGCATTGAATGTGGGAAAATGAATATTTCCACTTGTTTATTCTCTTCTGAGTTAGGCATGAGGATGCAGGAAGATGCATTAAAATTTTTCTGGGTGTGAGAAGAAATCTCTCAAACAAAGAGGCATGGATCTTGAATTAGAGTTCATGAATGGCTTCATTCTGGGGAACTCACTCTGGACTCCGTGACAATGGGTATTTAGCCAAAATACCAAACCTGATACTACTCCCTCTCTTTAGAATGCCGTGCTGCAAGCCTTCACAAATAACTGTAAATTCTTGTCAAACCTATGGTAATCCTGAGGAAGGGGCAGCCTCAACATAAAAAAGGAGAGAACTTCACAGGGCTCCTACCAGCGGATGACAGGAGGTATGGGATTGCAAGAACATCACAGATTCCTCAGTGAACCTGAGAGAAAAACACAAAGGGGAGAAGCAGAAGGCACAGAAACAATACGACAGAAGGTAATGAAGAGAGAGAAAAGAAAGGTAGTCTCAGGCAATGCAAACCAAGGGCAGTGCATAAATACCTCCAATGCACCTGAAATGTTCCAAGGTCTTAGGGTAAAAGGGCGCTTTCATTTTTTTACAATCTCCTTAAAAGTACTACTCTTCCAATAAGGAAGCTGACGTTCAGAGATTCTAATAAATTGCCAGAGTCTACAGATACTTAACAGTTACATGGAGTCAGGGTTACAATTTGAGCTTGTGTGATGCTGAAATAACAAAGTACGAAACAAAACCAGTTACTTAATGGGAAAGAGAAATGGACCAGAACTCACTTAGCAGGAAAAGAGCAGCAGAAACTGAGCCGGTCAGTGTCTGTGGTACTCCTCAGCAATTCCCAGAATGTCAGGGAGGGGTTCCTATTCACAGTATTTTGTCATTGTAATTAATTAACTAGCTACCAAACATAGCTTTTCAAACACACTCTAAAACATTCAGACAGGCTGAAGCTATTCCTAAAATCTAAATTCCCTAAGTATGGCTCCAGACCAACAGTTAATAAGCATTGTTTTCACCTGGGAATTTGTTAGCACTACAAACTCCCTTAACACAAACCCAGACCAACTGAATTAGAAACTTGGTGGGGCGGAGGGTGCTAATGAGAATATACTTTTATTTTACTTTGCTTTGTTTTGACTTAAACAACCTGGGTCTGCTGTCTTAGCTCTGCAGGTTAGAAGTCTGACACAGGTCTCACTCACCTGTAGTCATGGTGTCCCCAGGGCTGTCATTCTTCCCCGTCTTCTGTCTTCTCTGCCAAAGAGAGGCTACCCCTTTCCTAAGCACAAGGCTCCTCCTCCATCTTCAAAGTCAACTGAAGTGGTCCAGACCTTCCCACTCTCATCACTGTGCCTTCTCTGCCTCTCTACTGCTCCGAAGGACCCGTGAGGTTACACGGGACCTACTCAGATGACCCAGGGTCATTTCCCTATTTTTAGCAGAGGAGCAAACTGTCCAACTGCAGCCTTCTACATCTTCCTCACCTAAGATGACATAATCTAAGGTCCTTTCCATAGGATGCAGACGGATTGGGCAACTGTATCTCCTCAAGCCCTGCTGCTGCTGATGGCCTTGAAAGTCTCAGCAGTCCTGAAAGACTGGCCCCAGACTGGGAAAGCAGACTTCTGCATCTGGGTGGGGTATGGAGGACTGACCCTGGGTGCTCTCTACAGTCCTTGGCACTTTCCCTGCTTCCCAGACAGCAGGGACTAACAGCCACAGTCTTCTGCCATGATGTTCCTGCCTTGGAGCCAGGCGATCAAAGACTGAATTCTCGGAAATGATGAGCAAAAAAAAATTCTTCTTCCTTAAATTGTAGGTGTCAGACATTGTGTCCTAACAATATTAAACCTGACTAATACAACAGGTTTCCCCAAACCACATTATTACATATGAAGTCCCAGAATCTGGAAGAAAATAGAAAATGCTACAAGACCTATAGAAAAAATGATCATTTATTAGGATAAAATCATAACCACCAGACATGCAATGAATTTTTTGAAGCTATTGAAGCTTGTCACCTTTAGAAACATCATCATTAAAAACTTGGATGGTATTCAAGAGTTGATATAATTTGCTAAAACCTATTAAGCCAGGCCTATGAGCATTTTTCACTCTAATGATTAGGCTAAAAGAAAATGGAACCAGTTCTCCTATCCAAATAGTCTGGCTAGGAGATCCTGTCTCAGGTTTGTCTGTCATGTTTCTGACAAAACTCAATGGCCTAAAATAAGGACCCTGGGTCCTTACGTGTTCCTTTATTTCCCTAATTGCAGCAATAACACAATTTGGACACAGGAGAGGCAGGAAGATACCACTGAATATTGTCTTGGTGAAAACATGTTGCCAAAGATGCATTGCACATCTCCTAAATGAGAATGTTCAGCTACATCCTTTGTGTGTTATTTCCCCCCAAACTGGAACCTGACCTTCGGTTCACCCTGGTATTTAGTGGAACTGACTACCTTTTTTGTCTCTTCCTTTCTCTTTAATATGCAGAGCTCATAAGAACAAGTTTTAAGAGTTACATTTGGGCAAAAAGGTTAGTGGAACCAAATTAAACCAAATTGTACCAAATAACAAAAGAAGAAATAAAATATTTCATTAAAGTGATACATCCTCATTGTGTACTATACATTTAACACAGGACTCACTATACATCACAAAAGTGTTATTGCTATTTGTATTTGGGGTAGGAAGATAATGAAAATAATATTTTATCCTGTAAAAGTAAAGCTGCTTTATGGGCAAATTTTGAATTGAAAACATTAAAATCAAAAGGCAAACCTGGTCCTCTCTGAGTAAGGTTAGCTGCTGGGGCTGGGGATGGTACTTGAGATAAGGAAAGGAAGAGAGAGAGAAAGAAATTCCAATTTCTTGCCAATCAGTTTGGACTACAAGGGACTTGATGCTTAGGGACCCAGGGTTTACTCCTGGGGAGCATCCATGGCAAGCACACTCATGCCTGCTGCTGGAGTATAAGGTGGCACAGAAGGAAAAGTGCCAGAAGTAAGGTTAAAAGAAAGGGGGGTGGGGAATGATGACAATGGGAGGGAACTAAGACTCCCAGGGGCCAGGAACCAGACAGAATGAAAGTACTGCAATAAAGTCACCCAAACTAATGCTTCCAATCAAAGCCCCTTATTCCTCAACTGGGGAAAGTTCCTTTTTCTCTGTGCATATTGGGATGGCTCAGAAAGTCTTTATCTGTACACTGTTATCTGCAGATTTCTTCCTACTCATGAACTAAAGCACAAAAAATATACATTAAAATACTCAGAGACCTTACTCTGACCCTATTAGAGGCATTTAGGAATTGTGGGACAAGCAGGAGACACACAAACACACACACAGTATCAGTACATCTTGATTAAAATCAGCAACACATGCATCCTACTATAAGCACAGGTAAAGCACATTGCCTTCATTTGTTCATTGTAAATGACAAGCGTGTAATTCACTCTGAAGTTGTTGGGAAGAAGGAATGAGGATAGATTAACCTTTCAGTGCCACACCTGGTCTCTGGATTTCCCAACGTGTTAATGAATTTCCTGAGATGGGAGCTTCAGAGTTGCTGGCAGTACATTAATCTAAGGAAGTGCGAAGCAATATGTCCTCCAAACTCGAAGACAGGTGAGCCAGCTTAGAAATGCTAAATCAAACCTAAGCTATTCCTGGAAGACAGTAGCAACCTGCAAAGCCCAAAGACATCTGCAAAAGTCACCCTAGTCCATCTCTCTCAGGGTTGCTGCTGAGTTTCCAATTTTACTTCTTAGGTGTCCAGAAAATGAACTGTGTGACCCTGTACCTCTCTGAGATTCCTTCAGGACTAAAGGCGCCTGTCAAGTGACCTAAACAAACTTGAAGCTATCTCAAAATGGCACCCAGCTATAGGTCAGCACTCGCCTATCAAATATCTCCGTATAGACAGGTACTTTTGAAATGAGAGGACCTGCAAGAGAGGTTTTTTCCCAAGATATTGGGTTATTGTAGAAATGATAAACAGATGAGAACTCCATATTAAAAAAATGTTTCAAAAAACAATTTCATTAAGATCATTTTACTAATGCAGTCAAAAATGTTTTAAAGCAAAGTTGGTAAAAATGATAAGCAGGTACGAGGCTCCTGAGGAATCTCAGTCTAAAACTATTTCACTGGGGAGCTGGGGATTTAGCTCAGTGGCATAAGCGCCTGCCTTGCAAGCAGGCAGTCCTGAGTTCGATCCCCAGTACCGATAAAAAGGAAAAAGACCCCAAAAAAAGACAAAAAAAAAAGTAAAACTATTTCACTGAATTTAAATATCTGAGGCCAAATTAAATGTAGTAACACTAGGGCCACGTCGGCAAAGAGTCACAATGAGAGCTTGTGACAGAAATCCAGCGGCATCTGATGTAGGAGATGCCTATTGGGTCAGACATGGGAAAGGTGAGGGAGCGCCTCAGAATTTAAGATTCAGACCAAATGGGTACACTCAGGAAAGAACAATAACAAATACACAGATGGCCCAGGGAAGAACACACAGAAACTTATTATCCCTGATAAGATAACCTGCCAGGACCGGACAGCAAACCAAAGAGAAACAGCCCGTTCAGGAAAGCCCTGGGCCTCTCCTGCCCAGAGCCCTCACTGCCTGGGCTGGGAGGAGGGGAGAAGGTAGTTCATTGTTGATGTTGCTGAACTTCTGAAACCAAGTTGGATATTTGGCAAAGAACAAGCACTGGATAAATATGCAGAGTGAATTAATATGACAAGATTTCACATACTGCAATACAGCACAGAGTGGCATGGATCGAACTCTCCACTTTGTGTGGTGCTTCCTTGAGGTCCCTGCCATGAGTCATTCTACCATTTTTCTCTAAGGGCTTAAATTCCTCAAGGAACCCTAAGCACTGGCAAAAATCACCCATTTTGTAGCTAAAAGTGACCGGCGCAGCCCCAATGAAACAGGAGACACTTCAGGTGGTAACAGGAACTGCCAACTTTATTGTTGCGGGTTCTGGCTTATATATCTGACTGTGGCCAATCAGGCTGCCACGAGGGCTGCCACAAGGAGGAAGGGCTGGAATGAGACGCGGGCTCTGGCTAATATACTCAGCTGTGGTGAATACGAAGTGAGTACGAGGTGGCTAATTTGGAGAGGGACGTAGCGCATTGCGGAAGCTGGCGTGGTCCTTAGTCCCGGGTGGGGTATGGTATGTTGAGCACCTGCGCCCAACAAAAAGAATGCAAATGATATAGGAGCATGATTTTTCAGCACAGTGAGAGCAAGTCAAAGTTTACCAGAAGTTTATGAAAACTCTCTTTTGTCTGCAGATATTAGAACAAGAACACTAAATCTGCTGGAAGACAAAAATAGGTAGAAATCTTAACGACTTAAGGTAGGCAGAGAATTCATGAACAAAAATCAAACCACACAGGAAATACTTCGCAGAATCAATAATTGGGATCTCTTCTTGATTAAAAAGTTTTTGCATGTCAAAAGAAATCTCTAACAAACTAAAAAAGAAACCCATGAATTTTGAAAAACTCTTATCAATTGTCCCTCAGACAAAGGACTTCTAGAACATACAAAGAATTAAAAACAAAATCAGACCCCTGAAAGTCAAAGACCCAATTCAAAAGTGGACATCTGAGATGAATACACAATTCTCAGATGAAGAAATACAATTGGCAAATAAATACATGCAAAAATGTTCAGCATCATTGTTCATTAGAGAAATGCAAATTAAAACCACACTGAGATTCCATCTCACTCCAGAAAGAATGGCCAGGATCAACAAAACTGCCAACAACAAATGCTTGAGAGGCTGTGGGGAAAAAGGAACTCTCCTGCACTGTTGGTGGGAGTGTAGACTGGTGCAGCCATTGTGGAGGTCAGTCTGGAAATTCCTCAAAAAGCTGGGATTGGAAGTCCCATTTGACCTAGCTATTCTACTTCTGGCCATATTCCCAGAAGAATTGAAAACATCATACCACAGTGATATATGTGCCCCCATGTTACAGCAGCACAATTTGTAATAGCCAGATCTTGGAAACAACCTAAGTGCCCATCAACTGAGGAATAGATAAAAAAAAGATGTGGTATTTTTATACAATGGAGTACCACTTAGCTATAAAGAATGAGCACATTAGTAAATGGATGCAACTTGAGACCATATTCGTAAGTGAAATAAATCAAACTCGCATGTGTAAATACCATAAAGACTCCCTAGTATAAGAAATGGTAAGAATACATAAGAAACCAAAAAACTCAGTAAATACAGTGAAAGGATAAGAATCTGCTTAAAGGGTAAAAAATAATATTTCAGGGAAAATGAGGAATAAGAAAAGGGGGAAACAAAAAATATCTAAAATTATATAAACACACTTAGAATAACTAAGATGGTTGTACTACAAATTCTATAATTTCTTGGAACAAAATAGTTAACAGTCATAGGATTGGAACAATTGTGCATATTATTGTATGGTGATCTGAGGAACTCTTGAAGACCATTATGTAAAATGACAACTATAGCTATGCTACCACCTTGTTTTGAAGGCTTATATTCTCAGTGTTTTGGGCTCTTTGCTATTGTTATTTGTCTTGTTTGTTTTTCTAGGAATTTGTTTTGTTTTTCCCTCTAATACAGAAATGGTAGGTATACATGAAGAGCATTATACATGCCTCAAACTTCTCCTAATCAGTTCATGAGAATCAATTATATGATGTGTGATGAAATGAACAGCTACTTTGAAGAAAAAGAGACACTATAGTATCCAGTGCTGATTCCATAGTGTCATGCTGTAAAATCCAGCAATACTATTATTCTTTGTTTAGGATGATTTTAGTCTATTTTGTATTGTTTAATTTCAACATACACGAAGGTATGAACAGCTATTTTAAAGAGAACAAGAG